TTTGAGGAAGGAAAAATGTCCCCTTCGCACTAAATTAGGAAAGAAATAGCGCACGTAGAAATACGAGAGTAATGTTACCAAGCAGTGTCCTCAACGGTCACAGCAACATCTCCACGATGTCCTTGAAAGTCAGCAGCAGACAGGAGGACACCTTTTGGAATGGTGATTTAGTAGTGGGATAAACGAATGTGCTTCTGGCCATCTAATTTAATTAAAAGGGTAGGACATCAGTTATCCAAAGAAGGAAAGATGAATTCTGCCCCTTCTAGTGTGCTCCCTGAACTTTAATTCTCTTAGTAAGAGTTTGATGGGAGCCCTGTGTCCCACAGTTCAAAGTTGTATGCTCTTGACCAAGACCTGGGATGCTGGAATTGTTTGGCTGTTTGGCATAAGCAGGGAACACAATGACAGCAGGTTCCCCAGGTGAAGCCAGACCATCCTCTGAGTGGAATTAGGAACCCAGAGATGTCACTTTCTCAATTGCTCTTATAACCGCCTTATAACTGATATGTCCTGTTAACACCTAGTAAGTTGTATCTTGGAACACAGATAATATCTGGCACCAACTCACATCCTGTTACAGGGGTAATGATTTGAAATATAACTATTTAGGTAGTGTGGCACTGTGGATTAGGCATTGGGTTCTCACTACAAGGGCAGTGGTTCAAACCCACAAAAGCTGCTCCTTGGGAGAAAGCTGAGATTTACAGTAAAATCTTCTAATAAAGATTTACGGTCTCAGAAGCCCTGTATAGGGCTGCGTTACTTGGAATTGACTCAATGTGGTGAGTTTGCTTCATTCCTCCTTTGCCTCAAGAGAGCAAGGGAAGCTTTGAGCTTTGCAGGTACTGCAACTCCTCCAGTGTGACTCACTTCTGTCAGTGATAGTACTTCCCTTTCGAACTCCCGGGTGTGCCCGGATGATCAATGGATCTCACCTGCAATCTTGTTGTTGTTGTTGTTAGGCCCAGCCCAGCTCCATCCTCACAATTGTTAAATGGGAGCTCACTGCTGCAGCCACTGTGTTAATCCAACTCATTGAGTGTCTCCCTATTGTTCCCTGACTCTTTACCAAACATGATGTCCATGCCCAGGGTCTGGCCCCTCCTGGTAACATGTCCAAAGTATGTGAAGCCAAGTCTCACCGCCTTTGCTTCTAAGGAGCATTCTAGCTGTACTTCTTATTATTTATTTATTTTTAAAATCATTTTATTGGGAGCTCGTACAACGCTTATCACAATCCATCCATCCATCCATCGTGTCAAACATATTTGTACATTTGTTGCCATCACCATTCTCAAAACGTTTCTACTTGAGCCCTTGATATCAGCTCACTTTTTTCCCTCCCTTCCTGCCCCCTCGCCCTCATGAACCCTTGATAATTTATAAATTACTATTATTTTGTCATGTCTTGCACTGTCCAACGGCTCCCTTTACCCACTTTTCTGGTCAAGTCTGATGGGGTGCCATGCCCTGGCCCCAAAGTCTAATTTTGGTACTCCCTCGGGACTTCCTTGCTGTTCTGTTGCATGCCTTTAGTGTTTAGCCTCGGTGTGGTGGGGTCAGATTGGATGCAATTACCACACTGTGTCTCCAGTGTTGTCCCCTGTAGGGCTATGGGTCAGTGAGGGACGTCGTGTCTCATAGTGGGGCCACCCATATGGTCTTCTCTGGTCTTTGGTTACTCTGAGCAGAGCTATACTTCTAACAAGACAGAACTGTACTTCAAACTGTGTTTGGTTTTCTTCTGATAATCCACGATACTTAATTCTATACCAACACCATCATTCAAATGCATCTTTTTTCCCTGTCTTCCTTATGCGTTGTTCAACTCTCATGTGCATATGAGAAGACTGAAAACCCCATGGCTTAGGCCAAGTGCACCTTAGTCTTCAAGGTGATGTCAATATAGTGTCTTTCCTCAAACATTTGAAGTCCGTTCATATTTATTGAGAGCTAACTTGTCCCAGATACTGGATATAAAAATCTTCAGATAGTGAAAGAAAACCCCGTGGTGGAATCGAAAACAGAAGAAAGAATACTCTTTTTCTGATACTAGAAGCATGGAAATGAGAAAGCACAGCTATAGATAAGTGTGACTGTGTTGCCGCAGAATACTGAGGAATCCTAAGCTGAATAGCCACCCCGTGTTTGTCAGTTTGCCGTACTCCGGTGATGCTGTGATGTTAGGCGCTGTACTTGTGGTGCGGGAAGTTAATTCCGCTGGTATTTCAAATTCAATACCAGTGGTCATCTATGTAAACAAGTTTCAGAGGAATTTCTAGACTAAGACACTCTAAAGCAAGACCTGGCTACCTACTTATGGTGGGGGCGTGGCCAGGCGGTGGACGAGAGGACCAGTGACACCTGATGAATACCGGTGGGACCTTGTCTGAGCTGGTGTTAGGAGAGGAGTCCGTCAGGCTTGTAGGCTCTCAAAATATTCCTGGGGAGGAGCTGCCTGTTCAAAATAGAGCCAGGCTCAGCGACGTAGATGAAGTAAAGCTTTCAGCACCGTCATTTGTTGATGTGGCAAGACTCAAATTTGTGATGACACCTCTATCAACATCCCTTAAGACTTAGACTGTGGACTGTCTGAAGTATGAGTCTAGTTAAATTGGAAGTACTCAAAGATATAATGAAATGCATCAAGATCAATATCCTGTGAGCTGACGTGGAATAGATGGGCCACTTTGAATCAGAAAGCCTGTCATCTTCTGCACCGGGAGTAGCACATTAAGAAGGCATGGCATCTCAGTCACCATATGGTCATCCTTTCTCACCATTGTCCTTTATCATTTTTTGTTCCTAACAATATATATGACAGCTGTGTGGCTTATTAAAACACATTTTTCTTTTTAACATAAATATCACCATAAATACTTACCCTGGTGGTTTTTTTCCTTTCCTATTGCATGTTAAAAATGTAGGGCTTAAATTTTATTCATTGGTGAAATGCCAGCCTCTTTTTTACATAAATTTCTCTTAGATCACTGTTAAAAAATGACTGTGTATACTGTACCCCTTTACTGGTTTTTAATCTCTTTTGCTCTTTTGCTGAGAAGATGTGTTGAAACGTTCAGGCCTTCTCAGTGCAGGTCACACTTTAATCCAACATTGCTGAACTTCTGAACATGAGGAAATTGGACTTCTTTCTACTAGGATCATATACTGTATATACTGAAGTATAAGCCGACCCGAATATCAGCCAAGGCACCTAACTTTACAAAAACCGCATTAAAAATGTGCTAAAAAACTCAGCTTACACACGAGCATATACGGCACTTTAAGGGGTTGGAGCTAGAGGAGCCTGTCTGAGAGAGCTTCTTCATAGAGAAATAAACTCTAAACAGCGACTTACCTAAGGGCACAGGGCTATAAGGGTCCTCAGCAAGACTGGTGTATTCGTCTAGGTACATTGGAGAAACAAATCCACGGCGACTCACGTATAAGAGAGAGTTTTATGTAAAGAAAAGGTGCATCACGAAAACATCCCAACCCAATGCTGCCCAAGCCCACAAGCCCAACATTAACCCATTAACCCAACACCAGTCCACAAAGTCCTCCACCTCACAAAACAGAGGCAATGATGCCAACTGCAGGAGGAAAGCTGAGTCAGTGAACGTGTAAGCATCTCAGCACTGGCAAGGGTCTCCACACAGCTGCTCCAGCACCCAGGGCTGCATCGGGATAGATCCATGCGGCTTCTCCTTGGGGATGTCTTGTAGGAAGTCAATCTTGCAAGCTGAAGCAGGGAACTGCTAAGGCAGCTGCACCCGATACAACCATCACAAAACAAGAGACCCGAGAGCTAGAAAGGCGAGGCTTCACCACCCATTTATCCCTCCGCCTTTCAACCAGCACCACATGTGATTATCGGCCAGGCTGGCACAATTAACTAACTCAACTGGTTTCCACCTACAAGACTGTCTCCTCCCAAAACGCTGACCCCTTGTCTAGCAGACTTCTGGAATGACATTTTCCCCTGGCATCAGCCTTTCCCACAGCACAACCACCAGATTCTAGCCCATATATTATATCACCACGTCTATTTCTTCTGGTCCAAAACTAGTTTCTGGGAGATGTTGAAGGCTATCAATAGATGACTATAATTTGATTTTTTGATTCTATGTGAATGCTGGCCAGAAAGAACTAATGCACATTTGCAAGATGTCTAAATTATTCTTAGAGGCAGACATGGACGGTCCATCCCCGTGACTTGGGTTACTGTGTATGAGAGATCACATGCGGTGTTTGAAGGCACACTCCGTGGACTGATGGCAAATAGAATTCAGCCTGAAATCCTGTTGGCTTCCACCAAGTGATTCTAGAACTGTACAGGATAGGTATTTTTATCAGTTTGCTGAGATTGGGTTTTGTGTGTGATGCAAATAAGTGAAGTGAAGACATTGATACTACCTCGCACAGCGGAGGATTAAAGTCATATTATTGATAACCCCCCTAGGCGTGCACTGTTCTTCGAGAGGCGCACCCTCTCTCTTAGAAAACGTCATCATGTAGATTCGTACAATGTGGTTAGCAATGAGTTTACATGATAGCAACCTATCCTAATTACCCTTTTTACATGTAGATACCCAGCATGGGAAAGTAATTATGAAATCTACAACTGAAAATCAAGACTGATGTGTTTTTCAGGTCCTAAAAATGCATGCACCTCTGCAATCATTTGGAGCCTGGTGGTTACAAACTCATTGTTTTAGTGGCTCATATTTTCTGCTTAAAACGTCTCTGAAAAACGTTGGCTTCCATTTGACAGCCTCTGATTGTGAGAATATGTCTTGTTTGACATTCAATCCTCTCCAATGACTATACTTCTTAGAGCTGTAACCAGTCATAAAATCATGTGCGACAGTTTTCCCTTTTGCAGTCTACAGAATAGACCAGAAATCTGTTTTTCTATAGCCGTTCAGAATTTCTTGTTTTAAATAACTGACATGGTTTTCTGAAGCACGCGGTGGTGTTGTCCTCTCTCTTTACAGCTCCGACAGCTAGTTAATGTGTGCATCAACCCGGATCCGGAGAAGCGACCAGACATCACCTACGTGTACGATGTGGCAAAGCGGATGCACGCGTGCACCACGAGCAGCTAAACGCGCAGAAGATCGCGATGAGCTTAACCAAGATAATTTAAAGTATTTTTTGTGCAAATCATACCTCCCCATTTCCGTCCGGGTGTTAGGATTAATATTTCAGAGCTGATGTGCTTTGAATCCTTAACCAGTTTTTCAGAGAAGCTTCATTTGTACCAGTGTAGATAAACCTCCCTCATGCTCACCCCAGATGACTTAGGAAGAATCAAATCGCATGCTAGGAGAATGTATACTACATGATGGTCTTTAACAGCTAAAAGGCTTTTAACATTACTTGGCTATTTCTGCTGATGACATTGTGTTCAGGTAGCCTCTTGGTGCCAAATATGGACCGTGCAGTGTGGCATACCTCAGAATAGAATCATAGCCTGAGGAAAAGTATGTGAACATGTATGTGATGGGTGTGCTTTCCCCTTATGGGCGGTCATTTGAGATGGATGCAGTGGTAAACTATCATGATTTCTTTTCAAAAGTTCGAAGTATGTGTTTTAGTCCTTCTCATTGTAGATTTCTAATGTAATTCTTAAGATAATGGTAGATATAAACTGAGTTTAAAATTTAAAAATTCTTAGCTTACACATTCAGAATGCAACTGGTAAATGTGAAAAAGTTTGGGGGCAAAATGTGAGTCAGACACTGAAGAGCTGCTTGTTTCTGTTGTAATATCTTTGGTGTTCCCTTTGCAGTAAAACGGTATAAATGAATCCATTTAAAAAATGGTTAAGGATTTGTTTGGCTGGTCTGATAGTCATTTTTTAAAGTTGCACATTGCCCAAGACTTTTGTGTGTGTGTGTTTTTATTACTGTTTGTACATTTGAGAGAAAAAAAAGGATATGCCTTTGAGTAATCTTGCAGTACTATCATTTCTTTACAAGTTTAAATGCATTTAAATTCATAATTGTACACTATAGTGTAAGCATATGTTTTTATTCATAGATTTTATTGAAGTTCTGATTGATCCCCTTCAGAAAAATTTTTTATATTCTTCAAGTTACTTTCTTATTTATATTGTGTGTCCAATTTATCCATTAATGTTGCAGATTTTTTGAGAACATAAGGCAGTTATAAAAGACACTTGATATACCAATACCGTTCCAGAATTGGAAACCTTCTACGGCTTCTTAAAATGTAGGCCACCCTGTCTGAGTGCACATTTTGTCTTGTCTGAGAGGAAACAAGGGTGTATGTGGTGCTGTACCATGAACGCTGATACAGTGTCCATTCACTTGACAAGACTATAATATTAGAATACATGTAAAGCAATAAAAATTGGTCATCGCCGGGCCAGGTTTTTTATGGGATTGACATCTCTGTTGAGAAGCATTTCCGCAAAGTACTGTAGTCAGGCACAAAGATGGCAGAGACGAAGGCGCTTCCTGTAGTTTGAGGAAGTCGTGGAGACGCATCATCATTCTGAGCCTCTTCAAGTGAGGGGGGGGAGGGGACGAGTTCCTCACAGAAGCCAAAGGCGTGTGGCAGTCACTGTTACAGGATGCGGTGGCACCATCCTGGGGGCCAGTTTCCCCAGCAACAGGGAAACCCGTGATGCCGATCCCCCTCTCAGGCCAAGAGAACTGCTGATTTTGGTTTTTTCAGAGAAGTGTTTTCTTTACAAATCATTTGAGTACCTTCAAGTCATTTGCCATCTTTACATCTTTGATATAAAGGGCCAAAAAGTGTAAATTCATCTTTTTTCTTTATAATTGTAATCCCTTATGGATAGTTTTTGAAGGGGATTTTACCCTGGGCGAGGCAAACCTGGCTGGTCCTTTCTCTGATGGCTGACTGCGTTCTGTTCCCGGCTCTGGGGACACTCGGCCTTTACCTTGAGCATCACGTGGGTGTCTCCAGGAGTGTGAACACAATTGTTCCTGGTTTTGTTGACCATTAGTGTTCATTTGAATGTTGTAAAACTGATTGGGATGAAATGTCTTTTCTACAAAGAGGTTCCCTCCTTTTTTCCTGACCGTATTTTATAGATCTAAAATTCATTCGCTTAACTACCCCCAATGCCTTTTAAGCTTTCGTTTTCATCAGCCTGTCTGCTAGAAGGAAATAGCTGGGCAGAATCGCATGATCAAAGAAACCCCACATCATTTCCTAGACATAGAAGCGTTTTGTTTGGGATTTTTAATGTACGTGTTCATAGGTTTTTCTGATAACGAAACCACTGTGTAAAAACCCAGGTTCGATTTTGAAGAGGATCATTGCAAAGAATTATGAAGACGACGAGGAGTTGTAATTTGTGTAATTACCCATACAATATTCTCTTTATATTTCTGTGTATAAATAGATGTTTTCTGGATTACGTTGAAACGTGTGGACTGATCTGGCAAACGGTGAAATGCAAGGTACAACTGATTCTAAACCTTGCGTTGACATTGATACCCGTTACCCAGAGGAATGCAGGGTGACTTTGCTCCATACAGGGAGGTTTAGGGACAGTGGATTCCTATAGGATGAAAGTGCTCAGCAATGTGCGATGATTGTCAACCTAATACGACAGCACAGCTGTTTCATGACTGCTCTCTGTTCCCCTTGTGTCTATTGCAAAGCACCTCTCCTGTGGCCATGTATCCTTCAGGTGTTGCTGTTAGTACTTACCATGATATTTATTTTAACCCAAACGTTATTCACATTCAATGTTTATCCTCTAAGATGAATGTATTATGTTTGTAAGCCACAAATGCATAATTATCCTATGCCTCATATTTCAATAGTACTGTAATATGGACGTCTTTGTGAAATACCTTTATTTTGTTATGCTTTAAATACACATACTAAAAAGATTCTGTTACTAGCCTTGAAAAATTGTACAATATCATAATATAAATAAAAAATGTAAACATATAAATGACTACAATAAGTTTTCAATGTTTCTGTGGCCTTTTTTTCTCTTTTCTTCTTCCTTTCTAAAATGCACCATTGTGGGCATCCCTGAACCACTTAACAAAGTTCTTATTTATTCCCCTAACTGCCATTTTGGAGAAACCTAAGAGTAGTACAATGCAGATTTCTTTAGAGGTAAATTTCCAGGCCTTTCTTCCTCGGTACCTCTGAATGGACTCAAGCCTCCACCATTTAAGTTAGTAGCTAAGTGGGTAACAGTTTACCACCCAGGGGCTCCAGGCATGTAATAAGTTATCTGATTTCTCTAGTCCTCCACTTAACCCATTTATAAGACAGTTATACGGCTCCTTGACTCTATAAGAGGATGAAATTACGATGCATTTTCCAAAGCCACAGTGCAGTGCCGGGCCCCCAGTGATTGCCTAATAAACAAAGCGATTCCATAAGCCCTGGTGGCATAGAGGTTACAAGGTGAGCTGCTAACCACAAAGTCAACAGTTTGAAACCAGTCAATCCAAGGGAGGAAGATGGGACTTTCTATTCCCATAAAGAGTTACAGTCTCGGAAATTCATAGGGGGCGTTCTACCCTCTCCTGTAGGGCTGCTATGAGTCCACACGGACTGGATGGCAGTGGGTGTGGTTTTTCACATAAGTGTAGAAGAAGATGCATGTATGTCAGTCCACTTTGCTTTGGTTTTTCTGATGCAGCATTATTTTTCAAAAGCACCAAGTTCTTCCTCACCTGAAGGCCCAGACATCAACATAGCAAAACCTGATGTGTCCTTTCTTTGCTCTTGAGTCCACTTCAAGTACTGTCGGCCCAGTTCCTTGTAAATCATTCTTCCCGGTTTGCTAGCCAAAAGACAAAACCCCAAACACCTACTCGTTTCCCAGCGCTGCACTTTTTAGGAGCCATGCATACCCTGCTCACAGTCTGCCTGGCCTGGGTGGGTTTTCCCGCCAGCCACACAAGGGCCCGGGTGGGGTTTTGCTTAGTTTGTCTTCCTACTAGAAGACCTAAGGCCCTGAAGGACAAGGAGGTGTTCTGTGTCCACTGTGGTGTTCCACACTTGGCACAAGACCTCCTTCATGGTCTTCAGTCCGTTGTGTTAATAAATGACTGTTACATGCAGGAAGTATAGATGAGCACTGCAGGGGTGGGACACAGGTGCACAAACAGGAAAACTCCAGGGAGAGGAGGGCAGATTAGAGAGGAGACCCAACATCTGAGAACTCACGTTCTATCGGGAGAACGACTCCAAGGTAGCAAGTGCCAGAGGTGACAAAGATCGGAATTGACCTGATGGCAATGAGTTTGGTTATTAGTTTTTGACAAAGACATCTATTGGATTTTATGATAAGTCCATCATAAGTTGGTAAAACTTTTTTAAAATAATGAACAATTCCTTGCCTCCCCTCACCACTAACATGATAAGGGCACAGCTTGGCCCCTTAAACGTACTGAAGAAGTCACAGAATGCCCGAGGGGCCATTTCAGCGGAAGAGTGTAGATAGCGAGCAGGTTGGGGTAAAAGTGAGAGCCGTGGTAGACAGAGGGAAATTAGCAGACACAGTGGTCACTTCAGTTTTCTCAAGGAAAATGAACGTGGCATACTGCAGGAGAGTGGTAGCAAGCAGAGAAGAAAGCAGGTGCCCTTACGCAACATTCCACAAGGGCACATTGCTCATCATCATGCCTGAGACTCGGCATATACAGTCGAGCAACGTGTCTCTTCGGAAGTAAGATGCCAGGAGGAAGCAATACCTAGAAAAAGTACACCTAGCTCAGTGATCTTGTGATGAGCACTCTAGGAAGAGATGAAGGAAATGGTGTGTCAGTCCAGATCTGGAGGAGAGGCATCAGACATTTCAGGACGCTGAGACTATGTAGTAGCAGGTTTCCCAACGTACTGTCAACCACCACTCATTCCATCAACGGATCATCGATCGTTCTTGCCTGTTTTAATTCTTACTCTGCTGGGTGCCAAACAGGACACTCCAAACCAGTCATTCCTCCTGTTTTCATTAACTGCCATTCTGTCAGAAGTTGTCTCCCTTTTCCATTTCTAAGTCTTTATGTCAGTATGGACACAAAATTTCTATATCAGTGAGTTAATACTCTACTCATTTTTTTTTTCATGCACAAATGATCTTCTACATGCTGGCCCCTTTATCTTTTTTGACAAATATGTATCTCGAAGGGGAAACAAAACCAGAACAACAAGCACTTTCTGGTACAGCACAATGTCCCGGTGCCCCTCTTTCTCTGCCATCACCCATTCGAGGGTATGTAGATGTGCTCACACCTGGGGAGTGGCATTTCTCTGGGTCTCTTCAAAAGGCCAGGCCAGGAAATCTATATCCAAGGGGACTTCCAAAAGAACATGGAACACATTCCATGATCTTTTAAGTCCATGTTTCCCTGAACGTTTGAAGCCCCTTCATATATCTTCAGACATAGTCATACATATTTCTAGATGTACCTATGCGCAGATATGAAAAGAGACATCGATGGCTCCACACATACACAGCCCCCTTTTTAACTGTTGGGTTTGGGTTACCAGGCAGACTGCCTTATGTTTGGCAGAAGGGGCAGCAGGGGGGTGGGGGTGGGGGAGGGGGCCGGGGTAAGATTCCAAGGAAGTGATCTTAATTGATGTTCTCCAAGGAAACAGGACAACCAAGGGAATTACTGTGCAGTTTTAAGAATGCGTCTGCCCATTCTTAAAGGGTAGCAAATGCTGTCCTGGGAGGATTTCACTGATAGTCCTTATCCCATAGACCCTACAGCCCTGATCTTGCTCTTTCAGGCTTCTTTTGCCCCCAATCTCAGCAAACATTTCATAGGAACCCAGTTTGTGTCCCTTGAGGATGCCAATTCTCTGGGGAAGTGCAGAAGTCTTCAGATACGGGCTCGAGGTATGGAACAGGGCCTCGGAAGTCTGTAGACACAAACGGAGCTATGTTGAAAACAATTATCTTTACATGTTGACCTTTTTTTGTTTAACAAGTTTCTGTGATTTTTGTAGCAATACTTTCTTGACTTTCCCTCTTAGTTCTAGTTTTCTCTCTGCCCTTTGCATTGCTCAAGCCTAAAGCCACCGCCATCTGTCACCTGTATCTCCCCATGGCTCTACCTGTCTCCACTCTTGCTTTTCTCCCATCTGTTTTCCATGAAACAGCAAAAGCTCAAAGCATAAAGTATATCTCTTTATGTCCTCTGTTTCAGACCTTCCCATGTCTTTCTGTTACATTTTAAATAAAATTCAAACTATTGTGACCTGAAAGTGCATGTGTAAGCCAGGCTCCGCCTCCCTCCTCTATTTACTGTGTTCCTGCGGCACCAACCATCTTCGATTTAAAGGGAACACCTAATCAAGCTACCTCAGGGACCTTGCACTTCCTTTTCCCTTTTTACTTTTATGAACAATATTTTATTACGTGTTCAGTGCAAGTTGACACGGCAAATTGGGTTCCCACTTGACATTTTCCACACACATGTCTCAGTGACATTAGTTAAATTTTCCCCAACTTTTTGTTATTCTCTTTCATTGTGTTTAGTTGGTCCATTCCCAGGACTCTAGTTTCCCTGTCCCCTTACCTTCTTTGCTTTATAGTAACTGTTGACCTTGTGGTCTCACATAAATGTTTTAGTGAGATCCAAACCATTGTCCAACACGCTTATAGAAGTGGCAATTATTGGAGAATGATTTGGATCTCTTACCTTGAGGGTGCCCAAGGAATAGTGGGTGCCCCAGGACTACCATATACTTACTATTTTCATGCCATCTTTGCTTTATTATGACCTGAATTAATCTGGTAGGCACGGTGCTACCTTTGTGAATGGATGTTCTTGTAAGTTTGGCACTATCACCAACCTCCATGGTTTGTACACGTCGTGTCCAGTCACTGAAAAGTCTACTCAGCACAACTCAACAGTTCATGTATTGTGACTCATAGTTGGCCTACACTTGCATAATTTCCTTTTCTCAGTAGTGTTCAAATCCTACACCATTGACTAAGTTAATGACACTATGAATAGAATTTCCCTATGCTCCAGGGGGTGGTGAGTGATCATGTTCTCTAACATAAAAGGGTAACGATGCCTCTAAAGTGAATCACAAGCTTTTTAATACCTCATATTCTCATTCCATCACTGGGATGCAGAACATGAATTCTGTGAACTCCATTATTACAGTTGACTGAATGGTGGTCCCTTATACTTTTTCTTTAACTGCAATGAATATCATCCCAGACATTCCCATAGCCAAGTATTTCTTACTACTTCAATTCCGGGGCAAACGGTTCCTCTTTCAGACGTTTTCCTAGATGAGGCTCTCTAACATTATGCACCCCAACACCCGACACTGCCTGCCTGACCTCATCAACAACCTTCCTTCCTCACTGCTATATTAACAAATATGTGAATGACATCAGTGAGTGCTTTAGCCTGGGTATACTCAGCCCCAGCCCATTGCAGTTTGAGCCAAGAGGTTGCATATAGTTAGTTCGTAATTTGGAGAATGATTGTATGGAACAAAGGAGAGATGGGAGTGCAACAAGGAAGGAAGGAAAGAAGGAAGGGTGGGCAATATGGGAATGTGTCCATGAGTTCTCCACTACTGATGGAATCTGGAGCTTAACCCATTGGGATTGTCCTCGCCAGAGAATGTGCTGCAGAATTACCCACCAGAGGGTTCCTTCTCTACATTGTGCGAGTGTGGGCATGTCAGTTCAATCACATTCGGGCCACGCTGGCAATCCGGTGCCTTCGCCTCAGAGGAGCCCTCAGCTCAGACTGAGAATAGGTGTGGGACTGAGGCCAGGTGTGGGCTGTTTTCAGCTGCACAGAACTTTGCAGCTTGGTAATGGGTAGACAAAAAAGTAGTTCTAAGCAGCTGTGAAACGGGACACAGATGTCCAATACAAACTGATAATCCAAGTATTTATCTTCTAGATATAATCCATTAAAACCTATATTTTAGGCATCAGTGAACTGAAATGGACTGGGATTGGCC